CACACAGGGGAAGGGCAGAGAGACAGGGAGAAAGAGAGACTCCCAGGCAGGCTCTGCACTGTTGTATGGATCCTGATGTGGGGCTCAAACTCATGAACCAGGAGATCATGACCTGAGGTGAAACCAAGAGTCAGATGCTTAACTGACTGAGCCACCCAGATGCCCCAAGATGAAGTAATCTTTAAGACCAAGGTATTACTATAGATAACAGAATGTCATTAAATAATTCTGAAATGCTTATTTAATCAGGAAGATACAAATATTTAAAGTTCACAGAATAAGAGTTTCAAAATGCTTCAAAATTAGAGAATCATAAAGAACAATACACATACCATCATAGTGGAAGGGTGTTATATGCCTTTTTCAATAACCGATAGACCAGACAGACAAAAAAAAAAAAAAAATCTAAGGATTGAGGTTTTTTTTTTCCCCTCCTGACACCAACTATGTGGTATCCTCTCCAATACCAGCTAGAGTCCTATAACTCAACTAAATTTTGACACTTAACTACCAGATGTAGAGCAGACCACACAGGCTAAGGGCTCAGCCCACAAGACTTCCCACACTAAAGATACCAGTCACAAATATCAAGTGCCAGGGATACTCACACTTCTGTGTGACTGAGTTATGAAGTCAGGAGTTCCCACAACCCCCACCCCCAAGCTCAACAATTTGCTAGAAGGACTTACAGAACCCAGGAAAATGCTAACTCATGATTACAATTTATTATAAAAGATACAAATCAATAGCCAGATGAGGAGGTATGGAAGGGAAGTCTGAAAGGATCTCAAATGCAGAAGCTCTGTCTCTGTGGAGTTGGGGTGTACCACTTCCCAGCACATGGATGTGGTCACTAACTTGGAAGCTCCTCAAATCCCCTCCTGTAGGGGTTTCCATTGAGGTCTCATTATGTAGGCATGAGTGTGGTCATTGATGATTGGCTCAATCTCTAGCCCCTCTCTCCTCTCTGGAGGTTGGGAGATGGTGCTGAAAGGTATAAGCCTCTAATAAAAGCTTATTATTATTTTTCTGCTGACCAGCTCCCATCTTTTTTTTAATGTTTATTTCTTTTTGAGAGAGAGAGAGAGAGAGAGAGAGCACGTGAATGGGGGGAGGGACAGAGAGAGGGAGACAGAGGATCCGAAGCAGGCTCTGTCCTGACACCAGAGAGCCTGGTGTGAGACTCAAACTCAGGAACCGTGAGATCATGATCTGAGCCAAGGTCAGACACTTAACTGACTGAGCCACCCAGGTGCCCC